CTTCTGTTTCGCCTGCTTCAGTGTGTGTGTGTGTGTGTGTGTGTGTGTGTGTGTGTGTGTGTGTGTGTGTGTGTGTGTGTCAGTGTGAGTGTGTGTGTGTGTTTTATTATTTATATGAGTTTGCACACCACTACGACCCCCTCTCCCCCTCCCCTACACCACCATCCCCCTTCCACACACCACCCCCACACCACCTCAACCCCTCCTCCACACACACCCCTTCCCTACACCCACCACCTGCTTGCCTGAATGTCTCACTGGCCGACTCCTCATCCTGTGGTGCCGGATGTGCCTTCAGGAGGAGAGGAGGGGTGTTGAACAGAGTGTGGCACCCGTCCTTCACTTTAGTGCATCTTTTCCTGCAGTTGTGTGTGTGTGTGTGTGTGTGAGAGAGAGAGAGAGAGAGAGTCACCTACATCAACATGAGACTTTAAGTAGATGATGTTCGTTGACCCTAAATTTGTACTTGCACACACACACACACACATGCACACACACACACACACTCGCATGCGCACACACACACACACACACACACACTGACTAAAGTCTCCGTAACGCAGTGTCTTGCCTAAAATACATATTTATACACACGTCCCCTCACAGGTGTCGCAACCTTACCGCCGCCTCCTCCCCCCCCCGCCTTCCTGGATCATTGGCGAGGTCAAGAGGTCAACAACCGCTCCAGAAACTTTAGCTGGTGGAGTTAGGAGTCGTAGAATTGCTCGTTTGCTCGTAAATTCCGCACTAAATCTGTCGACACTAGCAAAGGTGGCAGAAGTGTACCTTCACCGACTGGAGACGCATCGTAGAGGTGGTCGTCGATACGTTAGGAAGATGGTTATTACGTCAGGGAGGTGGTCGGTACGTCGTTAAGGTCCTCGGTACGTCGTTAATGTCCTCAGTACGTCGTTAAGGTCCTCAGTACGTCGTTAAGGTCCTCAGTACGTCGTTAAGGTCCTCAGTACGTCGTTAAGGTCGTCAATACGTCGTTAAGGTCCTCACTACGTCGTGGAAGTTCCTTAACATTGTTTATTGAAGCTGCTGACACGTGGAGAGAGAGAGAGAGAGAGAGAGAGAGAGATGTGTGTAGGTAAATGAAGGAAGAGAGATAAGAGAGGATTGTGTAGGAGTAAAGAGAGAGAGACAGAGAGTGAGGGGGAAGATTGTCTGAGGATCAAGAGTGATAGAGACGGATACGACAATGACTGTGTTTTACTGTTGACTGCGTACCGATAAACACACACACACACACACACACACACAAACACACACACACACACACACACACAAACAAACACACACACCGTCTCCTTAAAAGAAAATAAATGTCAACCCCCTACCCCCTCCTGAACCCAAATCCCTTCCTTCTCCTTCCATTCCTCCCCTCTCCCCCCCCTCTTTCCCCCTTCACCTCCCCCTCACCTCCTTCCACCCCTCCTTCAGTTCCCCTTCTCCCCTCCCCTCACCCACCATAACAATCGACCATCCACATAAACTCTCAGCCGTCGGACCCTACAGGCGGACCCTTAACACAATACGCTGGTGGCCGACCTCCCAGTTGATCACATATTGCCAGAAACTTTATGGCCTGAACCCTGGTGGAGACAGAAGAGTCGACAACTTTCCCCCATCCCCCTCCCCCCTCTCCTCTCCCCCCTCTCCTCCCAATTCCCCCTCTCACTCCCCCTTTTCCCTCTCCCTCCAAGGACCTGCATTATGGTACAGTCTCAGCGCTGTTTGAACGTCATTTTAAGTCGTTGTTTCGTGCCGTTGTTTAATTCTTCTACGGCAGACTTCCTCAGTCGATCACATGGGCCAGACACTACGATTGTGATCTGAAACAATAGTGAGTTGGAGGAGTCAGAAACTCTCTCTATTGACGGTACGGAAGAGTGAGTCTCGGTGAAGTATCGACGCCATATTAACAACGAGGATATATATTTTTTTTTCATATCGTATGCAAATGTTTTTTTTTTCTATTTTCCAACTTTTCGTATGAGTCGATTACAAATTCTAAAACCACATGAATATCGACACCGGCACCTGGATATACCTTCGTCTGTATATGGACAAATTATATGTACCACCGTCTACACACACACACACACACACACACACACACACACACACACCTATATTATATACCATTGTTAATCTGTCTATACGCCGTGATGTAGCCTCGTATGTTGATTGCAGGTCAGTCAACTTTGCCCATCGGGTCCGTCTCGTCGCCTGCAACTGAGAGAACAACAGATGGCAAGGCAAGGGGGACAAACAATAAGATTTGGCAGAATTAAGATGATACCCTATTTGAGGTCCACAGGAGACTTGTCAGGGCGGTTCAAGAAGGTGGAGGGGGGGGTGGATTGCTAGGAGTATCCAGAGGGGGAACTTTACGAGAGGAATTTGGAACTAGGATTATCAAGAGAGAATCGTTTTTAGGGAGTGGAAGGAACTTTGCAAGGAATATCCCGATAAACAAACGAACAAACAAACAAACAAATAATCACACTATCATACACAAATCACAAACACATATAGTGTATTTTAGGTCTAAGATGATACACATTAACGACACTAATTAGACTACAAACACCAATTATTATCCTCAACGATGATTTTAATAACTGGGAATCGTCATCACCTGATCTGTAGTGTTAATAAATAGTCGTGTTGAGGTTGATGGATGGACACAGGTGAACCATTAAATGAAAACACGATTAATATTTTTGTTCCTATGTTTTGATTTACTGCAATTTGATGTTTTTACCTATAGAGAGAGTAAGAGAATCTGTTTTTGTTTTAGTGTG